TGCACCATCAGCAAGAGGGGGACCTTGAAAATAGGCACAGGAAAGGTTAGATGTCGATTCTTCCCTTCCATACTATTAGGCTGCCGTTAGTGTTCCTAACTATGACTCTTAAGGCAATACAAGATCTGGATAATCAAAGAAGCACTGAAGCCAATTCAACAGTTATAATGAAAACACACTTTAGAAAGAGGCTTTAAACAAATGTTGAAACAAACAAACAAACCCTTTCTGCTTAAGTTTGAATATTCTCTTAATTGAGATTTTTGTTAACTTGAGGTCCTTGTTACACAGTGCCAAGAACACATACTTTTTCGGGGGAGATAAAGGATGACAATAAGAAAGGAAGAACAAAACAAAATGTTGCATTTACTCTTGCTCTTCAGAAAATTACTTTCTTTATAAAGTGAATTTACCAGTTAACGGAAGACTGTCCTTTAAATAGTTAGCAGAAATTGCTGGCTCTTCCCAAATATCCATGCTCCTTTCTTCATTTATTAATGGAATTCCTGGATTTCAGCTTATCAAGTGGTCACTCAGCACTACATTTTCCCGCCTCCTGTGGAGCTAAGTGTGGCCAAGTGACTCACTTCCGGCCAGTGAGTTGCAAGTGTGAAGGTGCGTACAACTCCGAAGGTTTCACCCTTAAAGGGGAACAACGTGTCCTCCACCACCTCTGTCCCCATTCTGCTGGCCGAAGTAGTGGGATGGCGGGACCTGGAGGAGCCACCTTAGAGCATATGAGGTAGAGACTGTGTCTTAAGATAGCAGAGCAACAATATAAAAGGAGCCTGGGTCCTCCACACGGTAGAGTCATCGAATCAGCCCCACATGGCCTTCCCAGACAGTAACATGAGAGAGAAATTAGTTTCTGTCTTCTTTAAGCCACTGTTTTTTGGCCTTTGTTACATCAGCTGAATTTGTATGCTGAATGATACATTTTAAAACATTTTAAAACATACAAACTATTTGTTTTTATTTCAGGGATGATATTCTTTCTAGAGCATGTTACACTTTTCTTAGCTAGTTAAACAGAGCAGACAGAAAGTAATCTACTCTTTTTTGAATCAGGAAACACAAATACTATTCTGAACAGTAATGCAAAGAGATTGCTGAGGTGGAGAGGGCTGCTGGCCGGACAGTATGTGGCCTCAGGCTGAGGGGCATGGTTAATTCATGCCTAATTCCTGCAGTTTTTCTGACGTCTCTCACTATGAAATTATCAAGGATCTATAAGAAATATATATATAAAGTGCTTAGGCCCAGAGACTCAAATGTAGAAGTGCTCAGTAAGTGTTACTTATGACTATTATTGCTATTAGTATTAATTATTATTATTGTGTACTGGGGGCAAATGGCCATCTTAAAAAATCAGCACTTTTTTCTTTCTGCTTAAATCATAAAGACACAGAAGCTGAAAATCCCACTATTTGGAGCCATTATAATCAGCTATGTCTACTGAATGGAAGTTAGGGTTTATCCCTGGTGCAGACCCTCTTTCTTTATCTTTTTAAAAAGACTTCCATGGTCTCCTTCGTCATGAAATGTAAGGAAAATCCACCTGTTGACCTTGGGGAGTCTCTGAACTGAGGACCTAAATCAACAGCAGATTCTTCAAACTGAGATGTAAATGTTCTGTTTTATAATGAAGAAAGCTGTTTTCATGGCAGAGTATGGCTCTTCGGAGAAAATATAACGTTAAGAGGTTTTTCCTTCCTTTGACTGGGGCGAGAAGGGGGCAGCAAGGCCATAAAATGATACAGCAGCAAGCATGCCCCAGCAAAGTGGCTGCAGGCCGGGGCCAAGAGACATGGCCAGATGGGCCCTGGGAGGAGGAACGACCCATGAACTCTGGAGCACTCACATCTGAATGCCAGTTAAACCCTTCCTTTTCTGCCTATAATTTGCTCATGTTATTCTCAAGACTCAGAGAAGAGATTAAATATCACAGCTTGTGTTAGCTGTGCTTGGGTCTTAAAGGGAGAGGCTTATACCCATACTTGGACCAGAGAGAGTTTCCACACATGCAGGGACACAGAGGTGATTGACAGAGCAGCTTGGGACAGCACCAGGTAAGAAGAGACAAATGTCAACCAGCACAAACCTGTGATACAGTTGGTACAACCAGGCATCCTCAGAATCTCCTGGCTCAATACTTATCATTTTATTATGATAATATCGTTAATATAAATAAAATAATGTGCTGACATAAAGTTATAGTGTTATAATTTTATAACTGATAATATTATTGTATATTTTATTGTTCCAAATTATTAACATGATATCATATAACTATACTTTCAGTATCCAGCTGTGTGTGCAATCTTCTCCCCAAAGTATCTTCCCCTTCAAATCAAAGGCTATTAAACTGCAATAATCAAGCTTGTAAGAAATGCATCTACAGTAAAGGTAAACAGACACTGAGGAAGGGTTTGGAAGCATTTTCTTAGTAATAAAATACAAGATCTTTAAGGGTAGACCAAGTAATATCTTATTTCACTTGCTCAGGATTTTTTGTTAACAACTCTGGCTCCCTAGCTGTGTCCCAGGTAAATGGAATCAAACTGTACACTTTCCTTGCTGGCATCTCCACAATTAAAACCATTTCATTACTGGTAAAACGGGGCTTTGGGGTCTAAGAAATTGTCAAAATAAAACCGGAGAGACTTAATACATTGTCAACGTTACTTTGCCAAGTAAGGACATTTTAAGATTACCAAACCCTCACAATATATGACACTTAATAAACTTTAACACCAAAATAGCAGGAAGCAGATATTTCAGAATAAAGGGCAATCCTGGGGCTTTCCTGGTGGCGCAGTGGTTAAGAATCCGCCTTCCAATGCAGGGAACACGGGTTCGAGCCCTGGTCCGGGAAGATCCCACGTGCCACGGAGCAACTAAGCCTGTACGCCACAACTACTGAGCCTGTGCTCTAGAGCCCACGACCCACAACTACTGAGCCTGCGTGCCACAACTACTGAAGCCCGCGTGCCTAGAGCCTGTGCTCCACAACGAGAGAAGCCACCACAGTGAGAAGCCCACACACCTCAACTAAGAGTAGCCCCTGCTCGCCGCAACTAGAGAAAGCCTATGCGCAGCAACGAAGACCCAACATAGCCAAAAAAAAAGAATAAAGGATGATCCTTTAGGTGGAATCATTTTAGCTTTGTGAAGACTTTAGACGTTTTGTTCCTGTCACCAGGGGCGGGTTGGGACTTCATACAGACTGGCACCCGGTTTGGAGCCGTTTTTCTCGAACACGAAGCCCATGGCCTGGGGAGCTGCTGGCCTGAAACAACTCCCACAATTTCCTCAAATATATGGGAGGTGGACTGAAAGAAGAGCTGTGGCCTGTTGTCCCCAGAAAAGAGACCCTGTGAGGCATGGGAATAAGATCCACCTGCCATGTGCAGGGCCCGTATGTCAGCTAACCGTCTCCAAAGCTTTCTTCCTGCCTTGAGCTGTCTCTGAGTGTTAGGAGAACTGAAAACTGCCTTTTTCAGGAGACAGGAAAATTGCAAAGTTGGGTTCATTCCACAGAGTGAATTTCCATTTTTCCTGGCCCCAGAAATGCTGTGTCTGTCGGTAATTTTCTTTCTTGGGTCACAGCTCCCAGGGGAGCAGGAGAAAGGCCAAATAGGAGAGAAAATTTTTCAGTGTGTTTCTTTAGATCCTGGATTCACTCCCTGGCTCTATAAACAGAAGGGCTGCCCTGCTCCAGCCTTCCAGATGCAATTCCCAGATCGCAGCAACTGCACAGGTAGCTGAGCAGAGAGACCTGCCCTGGGCCAGCTTCAGAGACACAATTCTGAAACCGGTGTGCCCATGAGAAAAAGGAAGCTCTCTTTGTTAAAAAAAAAATAACCAGTGACAGAAGACTTTGCTTTAAGAGCTGGCTGAGTAAAAGCTTCTTTTACTAAAACCAGTGACCCCCAAATAACTTTAAGTCACCTTCCCCCTACCTATTGTGTCTATTTTCCAGCAGTTGGAAGAACTGTGGAGAACCAAAGGGATAGAGGTTGAATTCATTACCAGTTCTTCCGGAAGCTTTGTCTTTCTGCTGACCTGAAATAATTTCCATACATTTTCCTAAATATATGGGAGTTAATTGCCAATTTGCATTTTGGTTTGCGTATTCAGATCTCAAGATGGAAACATAAGCTCTTTATTTCTAGAAAAATAGACGAAGGAAAACTTCTGAAGCTCATTTTCTAATGCCCGAAAGGCTCATTGAAAACGACTCAATGATCTTTCTTCTCTAGCGGACTCTTCAAAAACATCTTAGAGGAGAAGCTCTCCCTCGGGTTTGGGTTGTTTTATGTGATTTCAGTTACATCAGAGAATTTATTCTCCACCCCACAGCCTCGCCAAATCATTAATTCTTTAAAGAGTAACAGGATTTTCATTTTGCCTGATATGTCTCCTTGTAGCCAATCTTGACGTCAGCGCCTTTTGTAAGCAGGAAACTATGAATTAGCACCCTGAATTTTCATGATGAGTCCCCTTATTGAGGCTCTATTAGGGAAAACTCTTCACGACCTTTGACACTAGCTTGCTCGCATTATTAATTTAAATGTCTCAGGGACATCATCTGCTTCTACTGAAATTAATGACAAATGAGTTCTGGAAAGTGGCTTCCAGAGCCGCCCTCATAAGAACAGTCAGGGGAAAGCTCAGTGTCTGAAACGTTAATTGAGATGTGAGGCTTAATAATGTGTGTTTAGCTGTGACCCTAAAATCTGCTCGCCTTACAACTTTCCCCATCTGGTGTAATTTGCTTTCTCCACTTGTAAAAATGCACATGACAGCGACAGCATGTATTGTGTGCCATGTTGCAACAATGAGGCCTCGTCTGTCACATGCTTCATTGAGAGAAACTTATTTCTCACCCTGTCTTTACCCAGTTTCCAACCTCTCATCACATTTTGCACTGGAGTTCTGCCCAAGCGCCATGCCCCAGCCCAGTTCCACTTTGGAGAAAGGAGATGATGGAGCCATACCTTGTACCCGGGTTTCCTCCCTCTTTTCTTTGGGATCTTCACTGCTGGTAAAGAACCAGCAGAAGCAGAATAAAGGTTATGAACTGCCATCTTCATAGGTGTTGAGTGAAGTGGGGGTCGGCCTCGCTTTCTCCCCGGGATCCTCTGAGACTGCATTTCTGCTGGTGCCAGTCTTACAGAAGGAAGTGACAAATCGCTCACAGGCAGAAGAGGTGCTAAGAATTAGTCCAGACACAAAGCAAAACAAAAACAGAAGTGTTTGTTTGGTTTGCAAGGCAAACATGGATCCGGTTTGGTGATTTTGGCCATACCTACACCTTAAGGGAGGGGAAAACCAAATATGAGAGAGCCAGGCACCAGTAGGAGCTTTTAAAGTGCTGTTGGGCTCCTGGTATAATTTCAAGGATAGTGAATTTCCACGGGACTATAGTGAAGTAGGGAAGACACTGGCTAGGTGAAGAGGACAACAGCTTCCCAGCAACAAGCACAACTGATGGCGTCACCAGCAAGGAGACAACTTTACCTATGTGTCTCAGTTTCCCAGTTCAACTCTGAGCTGAAATAATAACAGTATTAAATAAACACAGCCATTTTCTCACATTCACTCCTACCCTTTGGTTGGGTGACAGATTGTTATGACCCTTTTTTTCCCATGAAAGAAATTTAACAGTACAAATCAATTGGATTAATGTTGATTATGTCTCCTATCAAAATGTGGACAGAGATTTGCATACAGAGATGTTCATTTTGACATGATTCAGAACTGCAAAAATAAAATGGGTAGAGCCCAATAACAAGCAATAGGGGAATGGTTAATATATCTACAGAATAAAACAGTCAACTAGTTACAAGCCTTTAACAATACTCTTTTTAATAACATGAGGTTGAGTGAAAAAGCATCACACAAATTGCACATAAAAGTTATTTCAACTCTGCAAAAATTTATGTGGTGAAAAACTAGAAGGAAACGTGAGAAAATGCTGCCAATGGTAAAGATAGTGGGACTATGGGTAATTGTTCACCACATACAAATCCTTTCCCCCTCGTACTATAATATGCTTAGCATTAAAAATACTTATAATAAGCTTCTCAAGTAAAGTTGGCTAAATCTTGCAGCAAGAGGTAGTTGATCAACCTCAACCTGGAGAACGCAGCTGTATCATGAGCTCAAGGATCACATTTCCTGGAATGTTCAGGAAAGTGGCAGGTGGGACAGAACTTTAGACTTTAATTCAGGGGTGACGTTAGGTGATAAAATTCATTTCTGAGCATTAGTGATACCTAATAGTGGAAATGAGAGGCTCTTTCTCAAAAGGCTGCTGAAAGAGTTGGAAAAGACAATAGAAGCAATCCCTACACCCTGGTCTGGGCAGCACTGCAGGGACCAGATTGCTTTACTCAGGAATGAAAATATCAAATAGTGGGAATTCTTAAAAACATGACAGGGAAGAGACTCCCCTGGTGGCCCAGTGGTTAAGAATCTGCCTTCCAATGCAGGGGATGCTGGTCGGGGAACTAAGGTCCCACATGCCACGGGGCAACTAAGCCCGGGCGCCGCAACTACTGAGCCTGCACGCCACAACTAGAGAGAAGTCTTCGTGCGCTGCAGCGAAAGATCTGCATGCCGCAACTAAGACTCGACACAGCCAAAAATAAAAATAAATAAATAAGTATTAAAAATAAAAATAAAATAAAATAAATATTAAGAAAAACATGACAGGGGAAATCTGGGGTGTATCATGTATAGATGTAAGGTCACTTTGTTAATTCTCTGAATATTAATGGTATTCTATCAATGTCTTGATTTTTCTTAGAAATATCATACCTAGTAAATAGAATTTTAAAGCATAAATTTACCTATTGACTGTACTGTTAAATATTTCAGATAGATGGACAAGTGATTAAGGATACCAATTTTCCCTGTTTTTGTCAGTTTAAGAAAAATACTATATCTCATCAATTCTATGATGCATATTTTTTCACATATTAACATCTCTGAAATCAGGATGCACCCTAAAGCACTGTAAGCGTGTCAGAATTCCATAGGGAGCATTTTTTCTTTCTTAGTGGTATATGAAATAATGACGTGTGATATACTTAAAGACATCTTAGAGTCAAGGAATTATGATCAATGCAGATAAACCTATATGTAGACAAATATGTAAACATTAGACTATCTCTAGACTTAGTATCTCTGCTCCACAGTGCCAACAAATACCCAAATATTCATTTTCAAAAGAGAGGCTTTTAAAAACATTGAAAAACCACAAAAAATTATTCAGTAAGATTTTTGCTATGTGAAACTTTATCTGAATCCCATTTTGAAGTACCATGATCAAGTTTCTGCTTCTTCATAATTAGTTTATCTTTACAGATTTTGGAAACAGGAATTTTCCTAGTCTAGGACAAGTTTCTCTACCTTTCTACTTTCCTCTACTGAGGAGGTCAGCAATGTATTTAATAACATCAAGATCAAAAGTCAACACGAGAAAATCCACAATCAGAGAAGGCACTGAATTTCTTTCCTCTCATGAAAATGTGAGTCCCCTAAAAGGTTCAATTAGCATCACTCCTTCCCTCGTGAGCTGGGATACTCTGCTAACTGAGACACTCCCTCACAAAACTCTTCTTGTTGAACAGGTTTTGAAGAGTAAAGGAAGGGTAACAAACTAATGAGCACATTATCCTAAGAATTCGTATCACTCAAAATTACACTTAAGTATCCCCAAATTTCTAATATGCCAGAAATAATTTCCTAGGAAAAACAGTCATCTTTTAAACTGCATTCTTTTGTTCTACTTCCCTCTCCCTGGTGGGAGGAAAAAACAGGACTCGTGCTACTTGCCACTCCCTTCTATAGAAGCACATCCATCGCAGGAGTATGAAGGACCTTTCCAGATAACTAAATCTGATCAACGGACTTCATGCTAATGGAACAACAGTGAAGTATTTTTAGTGGAATACTAAGTACTGGTTAGTGGTTGGGGAGATACTTGGAGATAGGGCATCTTCCCACAGTCTCCTCAATTCACCATACCTGAATGAGTATGTGTTTCATCCATCAATCAGGAAGATGCTGTTCCCCAATTCCTTGTTACAAATATATACCATTTTAACACAAAAATAAATCCAATTTTAAGTAATGGGACAGAAAGCTGTTAAAAACTGAATAGTCTATTTTAACCATGGGAGAGTCTCAAAATGTCTTCTTGGAATAATTTTAGAGAGTTGGAGGAAAGCATCTACAAAATGATTCTTTCAATAACAGATCCAACTTCCTGCGCAGAGGAATTCCTCGTGTGGTTCAACCGCTGGCAGGCAGGCTGTGCTGTAGTGGAGGGGGTCCCCCATGAGTGCGGCGCTCCGGGTGGGCTACAGCAGCAGTGGCTCCGAGGATGAGGCTGAGGCCGGGGCCCGGGGCCGGCCGGGGACTGGAGGCCGCAGTCGGGGCCAGAGCCCCCTTCCCAGCCAGAAGTTGCCAGTACCCGACAGTGTACTGGACAGGTTCCTGGGCACCGAGGAGTGGCCTGCGGATGGTAGCGCAAAACACGGGCGCCGGGTGCTCACCTTTCCCCACAAGTGGGGCAACTGGGCCGCCCACATCTATGTACCATGTGAGTAATGCGTGAGAGGCACGTGGCTGACACTGACAGGTGCCCCTTATGGGAGGAAGCTGGCCCCAACCAGGAGGAAGAAGCCAGAAACCTTTGACACTGGTGGTGCGAAAGAGATTAACTCAACAGAGAGAGAACAAGTTTCAAGAACTAGGGGATTTTTCTGTTAACTTCGTTTCAGGTTTTCTGGTTTTTGTTTTTATATTGGGGTGTAGTTGATTAACAATGTTGTGATAGTTTCAGGTGTACAGCAAAGTGATTCAGTTATACATATACATGTATCTATTCTTTTTCAAATTCTTTTCCCATTTAGGTTGTTACATAATATTGAGCAGAGCTCCCTGTGATATACAGTTCAGTTTTGAATTCGTTGCCTGAAATATTTTTTACTAACCCTGTGTATAATGTTCTCTCTGCTCATGAGGATGTGACCAAGGGAGGGTCTAGGGCAGAGTGTCAAGGCCATCCCAGACTGCAGCTGTAGCTGGTACTTTATTTCGAAGAGGGCTGTAGGTGTGCTGGCCTCCAATCCCACCCCACCCTAGCCCTAATGAGTGAGTGGCAGGCAGAAAATGCCCAGGCTTCAGAGTCTGACCTCACTCCACTACCCACTACCCTGTGTGCCCTTTAGTAAGTTGCTGACTTCTCAGAACCTCAGTTCCCTAATCTCTAAAATGGGGATAGTAGTAATACCTATCCTCTAGGACTTTTGTGAAGATTAAATCAGATAATCTATGTCAAGTTCTTAGCACGATACACAGAGAACGTAGTGGCTCTTATTATTTTGTGTTAGATCAGGTAGTCTCTTGGAACCTCCATTTCCCCAACCACAGAATGAGAAGGATTCTCTATACTGCCTACTCCATAGGGCACTTGGGCAAATCGAGTAACTTATTAGGTGTGAGCAGACTATTAACCATGCAGCTCTAGTCACATGTTTGGTTAAAAAAAATGAATAATCTGTGAACATACAGTGGTGGTCCTTGTTGTGTTCTTTGTCTTTATGAACAATTAGGAGCATTCTAAATGTCTATCAGGAGATTCTAAATGTCTAATAAGTGTCTGATTAAAGAAATAACTGTTTCTGATTATGGGTTACTGTGGAGCTGTAATCATGAGCTTGATTTATGTAATGAGAGGAAGGCTGTCCAACATGTGGTGTTATATGGAGAAAGCCAATCGAAGAACTGGTATGCCCTCATCGTTTTTAACAAATAAGATATATACTTTAGGGCTTCCCTGGTGGCGCAGTGGTTGAGAGTCCGCCTGCCGATGCAGGGGACACGGGTTCGTGCCCCGGTCCGGGAAGATCCCACATGCCGCGGAGCGGCTGGCCCCGTGAGCCATGGCAACTGAGCCTGCGCGTCCGGAGCCTGTGCTCCGCAACGTGAGAGGCCACGACAGTGAGAGGCCCGCGTACCGCAAAAAACAAAAACAAAAACAAAAACAAGACAGTATCTTGAAGTGAGATGCTGATATAACAAAAATAAAAAAAAAAAAAAAAAAAAAGATATATACTTTAATACATGCACTGAGGAAAGC